TAACTAAATAATGTTGGCATTAGTATGATTTCCGTCCAGTTCTGCAACATGACCGTAACTATTATTCTCACCCAGGCTCCTTACCAAACTCTGTTTTCAGAGAACTGATGAGCACAGAGTAGAGACGCCGCAGGGACAGAGCAAGTCCCCTGTGTGCTGGAGGAGGAAGTGATTTTCATTTTTTTAGTTGTTGTTTTTGTTTGTGGCAGGCTCCTCCCACCCTGGGGCTGGCACAGCATGTGGTGCCAGGGATCAAAGCATGGTCCCTGTGCACTTGCCTAAGCAGGCGTTTTCATTTTTAAAAAGGTACTAAACTCTTGACTTACAAACCTTTGCACATGTTTTTTTGCATTCTTTCAGAAGTTAGTTTCACATACCAGGTAACTTTTAGAGGGACAACTGTATCTATTGGGAATACATGAGCATAGGAGTTCCCAAAGATTCTAAGACTAAAGAAGGTGAGGAAAACAGTAACAACTTTAAGCATCAATGCTGATCAGAATTTCTCATAGATGTTTAATTTCAACATGCTATTTAGACTTGCTTCTTCCAACTTTACATGCATAAATCTGATAATCTGAATCACTGGTTGGAAGACAACACTATGTATTACAACAAATATTGTGAAATTCATATTACTTTGTTAAATGAAATTCTGTATCACTGGTAACTTTTTCTGTTTCAATTCTAATTTTTACTCTATTTAAAAAATAAAAACAAGGGCTGGCAAGACAGCTTAGTGGACTAAACACCTGGTTAGGCAGGTGCAGAAACCGGGGTTCGATCCCCAGGACCACATGCCACACGGGCCTGCCACCTAGAGTGCTGAGCCTGCAACAGAGTCCAGGTGTGGTGGTGCATGCCTATAATCCCAGCACTTGGGAGGCTGAAAACAAGAGGATCGTTACAAGTCCAAGCTGTATTGGGAGACCCTCTCCCAAATACAGAAAATAATAATAATAATAATAATAATAATAATAATAGATTACTTTCTACAAAAAAATTTGGTAATTGTAATATGATAGTCACAAATCAACTTTCCCTCTCTTGGGCACTGCACTGGCTATATTTATGGACATTATTACAGAATCTGTATTGAGCTAGAAAAATAGTTCAGCCATCTAAGTGCCTGCCTGGAAAGCAGAAGCACCCAGGTTTGATCCCCTGTACCGAATGCTGTGCCAGCCCCAGATTCTCTGCAAGTGTAAGGCCGGCCACCAAAACTGGGTGCAGAGGTGCTTTCTTGTAATCCCAGTGCTGGGGAGGCCGAGACAGGAATATCACTACCAACCCAAGCAGTGTAGCTAAACCTTGTGCCACATAAATAAATGAATTAGAAGATTTTTACAAAAGAATCTGTGTTAGTCGGTTTTGCATTGTTACATTGAAATATGGGAGACGAACTAAGAAAGAAATGGTTTTCTTAGGTCACAGTTTTGGGGGCTCAAGTTTATGTTAGGGGGTTCCCCTGGCTTGTGCTTGCCATAACAGTGCCAGATGACAATGGCAGCAACGCATGTCAGAGAAAACAATGATGAGCAGTAACGGTTTTTTATTTGTTTGTTTTCTAAGACAGGCTCTTGCCACACAGTTTGGCTTGCCTTCAACTGGCTATGTAGAGTTGTCCCACTGTAAGAGAGTCTCTGCCTAGAGAGTTGTCCCATTGTAAGAGAAAGCAAACAAAAAGAAGAGAATGGTGATGGTCACAAGAAGAGCTCTCAGTACCTCCTAGGGGGCCTCTCCTTCTAAAAGTTCACAGTATTATAATTCCCAATGGCACCACTCTTGGAAGTAAACTTAGGAATCTTAGAAGAACACCCAAAATATAGCAGAATTCTGTAAGGGCTTTTGAAATCATTTCTTATTTGACATCCATTAAGTATAGTACATGTTTGCCATACATGTTTACATTCCCGGTGTGAAGCTGGTACTTGTACATAACAAACCTTAATTCTTTTTTGAGTCTCTACTTCCTTACTCTTTATCTCCTAATTGTCTTCTTTTTTTGAGAAAGATCACCTACTTGCAATTATCTTTTACTTTGCTCTTTATTCATACTTAAGGTTTCTCTTATAAGAGAACCCATGCCATATTTAAACCTATGTATCTGATTATTTCACTAAACATTTGGTGTCAGGGTTATAGTGATAAAGACAGTACGATACTAGCACAAAATCAGACCTGAGGATCTGTGGAATAGAACCATGGATAAATTACAAGTACAGTCAACTGTTGGACCTGTGACAAAAGGACCAAAAACATAAACTGGAGGAAACATATCCTCTTTAATAAATGCTCCACCAGTCATTCTGAGGCCATGATCTATGAGACAACTAAAGAGGTGAGTTAGTCCTGGATGAGAGCCCTGCTACTGCAAGTCACTGACACGTCATTTGTTGAATTTTCTCTATCTTTGCTTTTGATAGCAGTAATATAGGAATATGTATTATCTACCTCATTTTGTTCTTGGGAGAATTCTTAGGAAACTTGAGGATGACCCATGCTTTGTGATACCTAGCTTGCAGTAAGTTCTTAATATAGTTACAGAAAGAAAAATGTTTTGATTTCCGTAAAAAATATATTAACATGAAGGACTTCATAGAAAAAAAATTAGACTTTACATAGGAGCTATAACAGTTTCTTTGCTTTTCTTGCTAAAATGAAGGACATGCAATTTATCATCAATACTTCATTTGGGAAAATTAGGTCAATATTTTAAGTCGTTTATATTTAGATAATACAATTCACTAATATAAAACATCATTACCCAATTCAAATTTATTTTTCTACATACTATCTCTTTAAAACAGTGAAGTGAAATTACACAGAGGTGTAAAAACTATAGAGCCTTCTGGCCTAAACATTTGCTTCCAGGAACTTAATTAAATTCTATAATTTTACTACATTATTATCCATGGATTTTCAAATGAATAAGAAATGCGTGATTATGGATATTGGTTGCATTATTTTGCCTCAACAAAATCTTAAAACTTCCACACATCTCAATTTGGATACTTAAGACCTAACTATGCGGGGGCCGGGAAGATATCTCAGCAGTCTAAGCACCTGCCTGTCAAGTGCAAGGACCCAGGTTTGATCTTTGGTCCTCTGTTTTTTGCTAGCCCATGCCATACTAGTCACTGAAACCAGACATGGGGGTGCATTCCTGTAATCCCAGCACTGGAGAGGCTAAGACATGAGGATCACTATGAGTCTGAGCTGCGTAGCAAGATCCTGTACCAAATAAATAAATAAATAAATAAATAAATAAATAAATAAATACTTTAAAAAAAAAAGACCTAATTATGTGTATAAGATAATTAGACTGACTCATACAGTGAATAGGTGGGTCTACTGTGGAAGACAGCAACAGACTGATCTCTGAGATGTACTAACTTGGGGTAACAGGGCAAAAAATACACCACCATTATCAGTGTACCAATACATTTCTGTATGCATAAAATATTTTTGCGAGAATATTTTAAGTTTTAAAGTTTGTTCTCTCTGAGAACACCTTAACTGGTACAGAGATTTTGAATTTCTTGGTTTTTTAAATGACATATATATGAATATAAAAATTAGCTCAATATGTTCTTAGAAGATAGTTATATGAGCAGGCAAGCAATTGCTGTAACAGGGCATTTTTCATATGATTGTTTTCTAATAACTTGCATGTGTATGTGTGTTATGCCCTAGGTATTACATAATCTTACAATAAATATTTTTATGCTGATAAAAATTTTGAATAAGCAGCAGTCATTGACAGATTCATAGAAATAGTTGAAACATATAAACAATATTTCACTATTTTCTACTATTTAGTTGATCTATGCTCTCATTTTTAGTGCTTTTTGAGAATTTCACTACTAATATAGGCAATACCTTTACTCTTTAAGTTCCTCATTATTGAGTATCTTAAGACGGCAGAATCACCTTCTGAAATCAGCATTTGTAACATTATTCCTATATCTTTACAAAAGAAGACAGCATAAACAATAAACAAAACATACCACTGTTGTATCATACCTAGTTTTTACTGTGCTTGGGAATGTATTGTCCCTCACTCTTGCTTAAGCAACGGTTAGAGATGTAGCTGCGATCTAGAACATTTGCCTTGCATGCCTGAGGACCTGGGTTCAACCCCCAGACCTGTCCCACCTCCATCTAAATGATGTGCTTCTGCAGATAAAATGCAATGTCTAAGCAAAAGTGCAGCACTTTAATTCCTTTCAAAATATTCCGTTTTTATGGGTAAGGCAGTTTCTTCATTTATAAAGTCAGTAGTACAATGTCAGTTGGCACTATTTTGTAGTTATCAGAGAAGGTTAAATATTGACTCTCATAGAGTAGATGAATATTATTCATATTAACATGAACTTTAGAAACACTAATTTTAAGTTTAAATTTCAATATAATATGCATACCTATTATTTTCTTCTTAGATACATGTGTTGCCATTGACAGATTTTCTTTATTTAAGAAAACATAGCAAGCAAAATGTAAGACTATTAGATGTATGAGGGCAGGGTTTTATCAGGTTCCCTACCTGTGAAATATCTATGTTTGTTACATAGTGGGTGGAGATTAAAAATGTTTGAACTTACACAGGGCTTAAATATTACACTATATGTTGAATTAATTTAAATGTCAAGGAAATTAACTGTGTAGTATTTGATTATCTAACGTATCATTTTTTTGCAGTAATGGCAGTTGTAACCCATGGCCTTATATAGGCCAGTACCTTAAATGTGAAGATAAAACTTACAAAAATGAAAAATGATGTTATCCTTATTGGAAAAAGAGCCTATTGGACATCCTACTAGAAAGACATATTATGCAAATCTCTTTGAATTATATTTAGTGATAGTCCTGGTATAGTTTGAGATTGAGTATACATGCAGCTAATAACAGTTTCAAGATACTTCATGAGCACATTTGATACTTTTTTCTTTTCTTTCTTTTCCTTTTTTTTTCTTTTTGGTTGCTTGTCTCCTCTGAAGAGCCCCTGTAACAATTGAGCTAGGTGTTGGGAAGATATGTAGTAGCTGCTGACCTGTCCTTCTGACACCAGCTTCAGAATCCGCTTTGGAGATGCTTGCACCTTGTCTGATTTCTGCAGCAGCCAGGCAGAGTGCTGACTCCTCCCCAGCAGTGAGGAAACCTTCAGGCTCCAGAAGTAAGTTGGGCACATTTGGCTTCATTATTGCTGTTGGGTTTAAAAACTCTTAGGAAGACGAATTAGCCATCTTCCAAACTAATAGGCAGATGAAATCCAAGGTTATTCATCATTATTCTTTTCTTTTTTAGTTGTGCTTTTCTGAATACATAAAATATGCCATTTTTTTGGTTGATAACCTATATTATGGGATTCTGTAGTTAGTCTTTGCAGGATTGTGTCTCTTATGCATTATAATTTATATTTACAGCCTTAAAGCATAGCAAGAAAGACATTTAAATAATAACCTTTGCAAAGAAATAAATGGATTCAAAATGAGCACATATTATATCAAAGTTATTTGGCTCTTGCATTATGAAAATAGAATAAAATCTCTGGTCCTTTGATTCTTTAAAATTAAATGCTCTTTTAATGGCTTTGACATCCAGTGCTGTGTGGAGGGCACAGGACATCAGCGCTGGCAGAAGGGCACTTTTCTGATTGGTTCATTTACTAAACAACACAGTCTCTGTTTCACTAAAAGGTTGTGGCAGCCTGTAACTATGCATATAGAAAAGAGTAAAAAACAAAAAAAATGTACATAGGAAAAAATTGAAATCAGAGATTAGAATTGTCTACAGATGCATAATAATATAATATACTGCCCAAAGCTTCAAGATAAATTCCAAGCTCTAGGTTCACTTCTGGCATTCTAACTTCTAGGTAAGCCAATACAGGGTACCAATGCTAAAATTATTTATGTTCACAGTACTTTAAACATGAGGACAATCTCTCATGAAAGTGTCAGTCTTCTTGATCTGTAATTATAACCTGTTGTTTTCCTATTTTTGTAGTTCCTCCTGCTTGAATTTGAGGTATTTCCTTTTTCCGCCTCCTTCGAAATACTTGATAAAGCCATCATAGCAGCACACTATCGCTACACGGAAAATATAGATATATTTTATATGGTACAAAAGTTAATAAGGCTTCAATTGCCTATCAGTGATTGACTTTTTAGTAACTGAAAATGTTTGAATGAAAAGAGAAGATACATTTATTTTAATTTACCACATAAAATAATACTGCAATGTCAATATGCCTTTCTGAGAAATGTATTGACAATAACAGAACGTAAAAGTATTGTTAAACATTTACTACTGAAGCAGTATGCTAGCAATATATATTAAAACAATATGTTGTTGGTATTCTCAGAGTCAAGTGGCAGGATTATTCTAAAAGACATAAACAAAAGTGATATATCCAGGTTATAGCAGAGTTAATTCACTTAAATGTAGCATAGAATAATGAACTCAAATATACAAAAGATAGGCTAAAATCATTATTTCACTGAAAGCTTTTTCGATATATATTTTACTACCTGAACATATTCACAGTATAATTAATTTACTTATATTAAGATATATTTATGTTGTGTGGCTTCTTTAGCTATTCATAAAAAAGAAGACAATTTCTCAAGAAAACAGAGAACCTTATTTATTCTTGAGATTATTTTACATAATCTCAGGCAATTTATTTAACATTTATATTCATTTTCCACTGATATGTGGATTTTAAGTTAAAAATATGAAAGTTGGGGCTGGGAGATGGCTCAGTGGAAGAAGCGCTTCCCTGGCAAGTGCAAGGGCCTGAGTTCAATTCCTGGTTCTGCCAAAAAAAAAAAAAAAGAAAGAAAGTTGTTGGCAAAGAAAATATATTTACTAGACAGAAACCTTCATGTAATCATAAGCCAATGAATTGAAACACATATTCATGTACTTAAAGCTGTAATAAGGCCACAGGATTTGCTTAACTAACCTAGCAATAGAAAGCTAAACAGAAGTTATGTCTTGCAAACAACTCTTACAAATTAATTTTAATTCAGTTTTTTACATCACTAGTCTATTTGTCTGCAGAAATAGAGCTTTTTTTTCTGTTTTGTCTTTGTGTAATACTAGGATGCAAATCTTGCATGGAATTAATTACCCTGCAAAAAGAGAAAGTAAATACAATCCTATTGAGCTTGCTCAGATTTCAAATAGCTCATTGCAAATTTATAGCACAACATGCTAAATCCCTTTAAGAAATAAATACTGGGAACCTCTTTAGAGTGGAAGAGTGAAAGAAAAAATGGTACTAAAACAATAAGGCCACAGAATGCTCATGTACAATCAAGGCAGAAGAAGTCAGGGGATGAGGGTGGCTCTGGTGCTTATTCTTCCCTCACTGGAATATTCTGTTAGTCTAGGCTAGTAAAATAGGACTTTTCTTTGTTGCGACCTCTCATGTGACATGCACAAAATAATATATAATACTCTCTGAACATGCCTGTGCAAAAACATGTGCATGCATATGTGCATGTAAAACTTATTTAGTATAGATATAAGAGCAATAACATGTCTTCTAACTGTTAAGTTATACTTCAGTGCATTAAAATACTTTCATTTTTCTGAAACAAACTTCACTATGCATAGGATTTAGAAATTATGATCTCTGATATAACAGGGCTTAACATTTTATCACAGTGATGGCCAGTGTAATATAATATAACAAAGCCTCGTGCTTACTTTAAGAAACGTGATTAGCTATCCCTGATGTTTGCTGGATTCCTGTCACATAGAGTATTGTTTCTCATCCTTTGACTTCCAGTCTGTGACTTTTCTTTTAAGTCAGATGTGTTTTTGTACATACCATATTGTTGGATTTAATTTTTTTAACCCATTTTGCCAGTCTATCTCTTTTGATTGGTGAATTGGGGCTGTTTACATTGATGATTATAACAGATATGCATTGGCTTATCTTTGTCATGTTATTTTCCTGCTCAGGGTTATATCCTCCCTTTTTTAAATTGCTTGATGTTTCCTTTCTGTTGTTGTTCTTGAAGTTGTGGGTGTTTTCTGTCTGTTTCTACAACATCTGTCATTGTTCTTTTTAGGGTTGTTTTGGTGTTAATGAATATCTTCAGTTGTTGTTTGTCATGGAATAATCTTCTCGAACCATTTGAATTTATAGATAGTTTTGTAGGGTATATAAATCTGGACTGGAAGTTCTTTTCTTTCAGGACCTTAAATACTTCACTCCAAGCTCTTCTTGATTTGTTGGTATGTGTTGGGAACTCTGCCATGACTCTCATGGGCTTGCATTATAGCTGACCTGGTTCTTCTTTCTAACAGTTTTTGATATTCTGTTCTTTTGCTGAAGTTCTGGGATCTTGATTATGATGTGTCTAAGTATATATTTATTTTGACTGTGGCTAGTTGGAATTCTATATGGCTCACTTCTCTGTATGTCAGATTTGTTCTCAAGCTTGGGATATTTTCTGCCACTGCTTCTTCAAGTAACCTTTTTATGTCATTTGTCTTCTTAAGATATGCTGAGCGATTGTTTCATGATTGTTGTCATTTCTGTTTTGACCTGAGAGATTATTTCTGATCTTATTTCTTATGTAGCCTGATGGACTTGTTTCTTTATTTCAGTTAGTATCATTTCAGAAATTTCAGGTTTGTGACTTCAAAGTTCTTCTATGTCCTTGTCTCCTGGATTAGTTCTGGGTGGGCTGGAGGACTGAGATTGCCCTTTGCTCCTCTGTTTTGGCATTTCTGACTTTCCCAATGATCAAAAGGACTCAAAAGTGGTAGAAGAGGAGAATGGGTCAGTAAGCTTCCTACAACATTGGGTATGTAGAGTAGGACTCGCCAAGCCTCTTGCTACTGGTGAGAACTGGACATCCAAACCTCAGCAAATCTTCTGGGTCAGTGGTGGGCATAGGCTGGGCTCACCAGAATTCTTCATCTCTCTGGTATCCACCTACATTCTCAGATGGTGGTACACGGTGCCTGAAGATCTCTCACACCTCTGCACTGGTGGTAGAGGAGGGCTAGATTCACCAGTAACCTATAACTTCCTGGTTTATGCCTACCTTTTCAGGTGGTGGGACAGGGCACACACCCCAAATTCTTGATTACAGTGAGCTGAATGATGAGTGGAAATTCAGTGTCATTGTTTCATTCCACACATCTAATTGATCTTTCCTTTTCTCCTTAGAAATTAGTTGATAGAAAAACATATTTTTGTAACCTCTGGTTTTATAGCAAGAGACTAGGACCATTAGATTTGGGACTGCAGGCAAGTGTACAGTGTTTTTTAGTCAACTAATTCTTGTAAGTTCACTGTTCTTTTCAATGATAGGCGATTCTAAATCCATAATAAGTAACTGTCTTCTTTTTGACTGCTTGCATGAAAATATAGATTGCCATGCTAAATCTTTAACTTTTTTTTCAGAAAATTAAATACTAATTAATTAAAAATTAAATGTTTCAAAACAATTGCACTAAGAGAAAGTTTTCATGATAGTAAAGAAGTACTAAGAGTAAAATATAAGATAAATACTGGAATGGCAAATAAATGACCTGCACTTCTAACAGTTTGAGGATAGGATATCACACAAAGTTCTAATGTGTTGTAGACATGCATAATGACCATGACAGTTACTGGTGGCCAGGCGTCACTTGTGGGACTGAGCTACAGCTATTTCTTTGAAATCCACCCTGTAGATTCAGGTGGAATCATGACCCATAGAGTGGAAGAGAAGTCCATTTGTAGTGTGTGCTGATGGAAATATTTTGCTGCTGAGCACAAAAGGATAACTGAAAGACTACTATTGTATACCTCTTATTCTCCCATGTTTAATTGTTTGCCCTATTTGGTGGGTTCCTTCCATTCTCATTCATGGGGCTGGGATCAATTTGCTCCCTCTCTAGAACATCATTTAGTAATCTGTGTAGGCTTTGCTTTGTCATCATGAAATCCTTTAGCTGTTCTTTGTCATGGAAATATTTCACTTCTCCATTATACTTGAAAGAGAGTTTTGCAGGATAGATCAGTCTGGGTTGGAATTTGTTGTCTTGCAAGACTTGAAGTACTTTGCTCCATGCTCTTCTTGACTTGATGGTTTGTGAAGAGAAATCTGCTGTTATTCTGATGGTTTTTCCTTTAAATGTGATCTGTTTCTTTTCTTTAGCAGC